CACTCAGGTCCTTAAGTTCTGTGTGATTTCTCCCATGGCATCACCGTTGTGACCGCAGGCTGTGCCCTCTGGGCACTGCACAAAGGTGCCCTGCTGAGGAGGTGGGTGGGGGCTGAAATCTAACCAGGATTCCATTCACTCAACTGTGCGCCTTAGCTTAAGGCTATGTCTGCTCAGAGGAGGGGCATCCTTTTCTTTCCACATCTTTTTCTGTTTACCAAGCTGCACTCACAGAGTGCATTCATCCATGCTAGGTGTCTTTTTCTCATTTACATAAAGGTGACCTAGAAGTTGACCTAGAAGACCTGCCCTCCCTTTTCTGTGTTCCTTCTTTGGAACTCCTATTATTCAGACATTGGATCTCCTAGATGAAGTCTCTCAAATCCCTATATTTTCTCTCCTATTTTCCATCTTTTTGTCTCTTTGTTTCACTTTGAGACATTCTGTCAACCTTATCTTCTAATCCTATTGAATTCTTGTTTCTGCATGTTTTAATGTCTAAGAGCCTTGGTTCTCTAAATATTTGCTTTGTGCAACATCTTGTTCACATTTCATGAATGCAACGCCTTCTCTCTCTGAGGGTATTAACAATAATTCTTTTTGGAAGTTTTCTTTTCCCTGTTTTTTCTCCTTTCTTTCTGTTTTAGTGTTTTGGTCTCTGCATCTCATCTCTACGTCACACCGCCGGACAACTTCCTATCTCCAACACTAGAAGTTTGTTTCTCAGAGAGGGTAACATAGAAAGTCTCTGGGCTGGGGGACATCAGACACAGTCGAGACAGTACCAGAGTGAAAATGGGGAGAGCATGAATGTGTTTACTGAATATAGAGACTTCTGTAAGCTTTCCCCACAAGGCTCCAGACAAAAAGGAGAAAACAGAAGGAGCAAACAACTGATGCCTGTACATTTGGGGTATAAGAAAAATATCATAGGTGGGCGCCTGGGTGGCTCAGTTGGTTAAGTGACTGCCTTCTGCTCAGGTCATGATCCTGGAGTCCCGGGATTGAGTCCCACATCGGGCTCCCTGCTCAGCGGGGAGTCTGCTTCTCCCTCTGAGCCTCCCCCATCTCATGTGCTCTCTCTCATTCTCTCTCTTTCAAATAAATAAAAAAATCTTAAAAAAAAAAAGAAAAATATCATAGGACTTCTATTTGTAATTATTTTATCCCACCATTGCCTAATTTCTATTTTTTGTTTTTAAATATTTTAAAATGAATAACATAAATAAACATATATCGGGGCTCGTGCTCAAACTGTTGTTACTGATGGAGGCACATAATCAAAAGAGTTCAGACACCACGGCATTAAATTATGAATTTTTGTAAAGTAAACTGCATTGATTTCAATTCTCCACATTTGATTTATAGCTGTATCATGAAAACAAGCCAATACAATGTGCTATATCGTACAGAAATTTTGCATACAACAAAAATGAAACTAATATACCTGCAAGAACTCAATGTTCCACCTGGAACAAAATTCTACCCAACTTTGGATAATTCAAGAAAACATGTGCTTTTACCTCCCCACTTACCACCGAGTTCTTCCTGATAAGCTGGAAGCAGCACTCTACAGTACATTTTAGACCACATTAAATTAACAATGACATATTAAGTGCCCTACTGCCATGGCAAATATGAGTTTTCTGACCTATATAAAAACTGAAATATGCACACATGTGCTCTTTTAAGTATACAATGTGGCATGGACATTCAGCTCATTGCATGTGGCAGTAATGTTAAGAGGTGGCATAGGGTATATAAAGCAATAGAAATAAAGGAACTAAAACTAAGAACTAACGATAAGGAGAGGAACATTCAAGAAATACTGCTGATCTTGAGTTATTAGTTGAAAGGAGCAGTTAACACTTTAACTTTGGAACTTGATGCTTAAGTACGTCATGATTTTTTGCTTTACCCATCTTTCTAATTGTAATTCCCCAAAGGATTTAACTAATCTAGTGTTAAAGCAGTGATCCATAATGGGAGTTTGAATTAGAAATACCCTAGAACATCCCAATGTCTTCAGCAAAATCAATTCCTTATGGAAGTTTGATTAAACTAGAACCTACAAAAATACCATAAAATGTTTCTGAGTTAATAGGTTCATAAACGGATTCGAAGGTTGAACCAGCAATTCTTTTAGCTCAGATGTCTTCAAATAATTTAGTATAACCTTCACCAAGGCAAAGCAAAAAAATATAATTTCTTATGGTTAGAAAAGAAACAAAAGTAGTATATCTGCTTGAAAGAATTACCACCCCTGTGCAATCTGACGCTGTCGTCTGCCAAGCTGCAAAATCTGGCATCTCTCCACCACAAGAGGGCAGTAGCGCTCAACCGTCGTTGATGGAAACCCAACAGAGCCAAGGAGGCTTCATTAGAGAAATCGTTGCAGCCAGTTGTTAACACATCAATCTCTCATTGGAAAAAGCAGGCAAACAGGAACCACAGCCCAGATAGGCCCAGAACTTCTGTCCCCGGTAACAAAAAGACAGGAAATAAGCAAAAGGGGCTTGTGAAAGGGAGCGTCCTCCCTCCCCATCCTCGTGTCCTTCAATCACCGTGGAGATGGCTGACTACCATAATATTGGCTGCAGATAGGGGTCTGTTTCATTTGGATGTTCAGATAAGCACACTGTGGCAGGCATCAATGGAACACAGCTCTTAATGCAGATTTGGGGAAGGCAGGATAAAAACTGTTCGGTGCAGCAGAACTGCTATCTCAGAAAATGAATTAGGATTGGTTTTAGGAATGAAACCTGGGATAAACTTTAGATTCATGACATTGGAACATTAAGATAATCAAAGTAATCTTTGCAGCCTATAGCATTACCTTGTAAAGGTTCCAGGAAGCCAATTAATACAAAAAGGGATCAATTATAACAAATGCACCTCAATATTTTAAGTATGTGTGTTCATTGGTCTAGTATTACCCATAACTTGAGATGAATCAGGTATTTTTAATGTGCTCTCATGACCAGCATCTGTTTTTGTTTTTATTCATAACTGTCATTTATGTTCCTGAGCTATTACCTGAAGACTTTTAATATTTGAGAAACCTAACTTAATTATTCCATAATTTAATGTTTCAACATTTATTAAACAATCACAACTGAGAGAAAAGATGGTGCTTCCGTGTGTATTAAAAGAGAAAATTTTAGAAAATTGTACCTCCACGTTTTAAAGTCACCCTCAAATAAAAATTGAGACTTTTGAATATTTCCCACTTTTTATGTGCCTTTCATATCTCATATTGTACCTTTTGTTGTAGTCAAAACTTCAAAACCATAGAAAGGCTAAATCTAATTCAGGGAATCTTGTTCCTTCATAGAAAGAAGGGATAGAATACAGGGAAATAAAATACGTTCTGTCATCCTAATAGATACCCATGAGGGACATAATTGTCATTGTTGTTAATGAGCCATTGGACAGAAGATGATATTTAAAAACTCTTATTCAAGTATAAGTATCATTTAATGGTTTATTCAACTCAAATTAGCAAACATTATTGAGTTAGGCACTGTGGTAGCAGGATAAACAAAAATGAATAAAACATCGAGCTGAGGGTGAGAGTCACCTAAAAGCAGGAAGGTAATTAATATTTTTTAGCAACTACTATGTAACAGATTGTTGCATATCTTTTCTCATTAATCCTCATAACAATTCTGAGGCATCATCCCTGTTTATGGAAGACGAAACAGGCTAACAGCAGTTAAGTGGACTGCTCAAAGTCACAGAACTAGTTGATGTAGAGCCAAGATTGGAACCCAGATCTGTTCAACTTTTAAAGCATGTTCTCTTTTCACTGGACCATTCTACCTGAATATTAGTGATTGACTCCTGGGGAACAGTAACTTTTATAAACGGCAGTTTAATAGTTTACAATTTAACAAATGAAACATAATGGTATGTAGTCATTACATATTTTAAAATAAAATTTAATTAGGAAATATTTTAAACATAGAAGTTAGAGGGGCGCCCGGCTGGCTCAGTTCAAAGAGCTTGAGGGCTTGAGTCTGAGCCCCACGTTGGGTGTAAAGTTTACTTAAAAAAAAAAAAAATTTAGAGACTAACACCTGTGTAGTCGTTACAGAGCCATATGCTATATTTAATCTTAACATTATGTATGAGTCAGACACTTTTAAAGAAATAAAACATTATAGAAACAGTTGAGACTTTCTACCTCTCCTTGATCCCACTCTCCTTTCTTTCTCTCTAGAGAGAACGCTATTATGAATTTGATGTTTATCAGTTTTATGCATGATTTCTTACTTTGACTACATGCTTATAATCCATAAACAATATAACATTATTTTGCAGGGTTTTAAATTGTGTTTTAGTTGTATCCAAACGAACATTTTTTAAAAAGATTTTATTTATTTGAGAGAGAGAGAGAATGAGCCGGGAGGAGGGACAGAGGGAGAGGGAGAAGCAGACTTCCCGCTGAGCGGGGAGCCCAATTCCATCAGGGACTAAGCCGAAGGCAGCCACTTAACCGACTGAGCCACCCAGGTGCCCCAAGAACACATTATTTTACAACTTACTTTTTGTGATGATATGTTTTTGAGATTTATCGACAACGGCCTATGTAGCTCTAGTTCTCTAACCATAAAATGCTGCATAGTATTATATGAATGTACCAAAATTTATTTATCTCTTTACTTATAATTACATAAATAAAATTCTTTGGTTTTGACTCAAAGCATATCTGACCAACTTTCCTCATAATACTGGAACTTGTATTTTAATAATAAAAGTACAAGGGGCGCCTGGGTGGCTCAGATGGTTAAGTGTCTGTCTTCGGCTCAGGTCATGATCCCAGGGTCCTGGGATTGAGTCCCGCATCGGGCTCCCTGCTCCTTGGGAGCCTGCTTCTCCCTCTGCCTCTCTCTCTCTCTCTCTTTGTCTCTCATGAATAAATAAATAAAATCTTTAAAAATAATAATAATAATAATAAAAGTACAAAACTATCCACACTTTTTTTTTTCTCGGTACAGATCATTCTCGAATCGAAGTATGGGAATTTGGTAATATTGTCATCGAATACCTCTACCAGTGGGCACACATCTGTTTAGCTCTCGTGGAGCTAAACAAAAAACCAAATAGTGCTCTCGCACCCCCGTTGCCCTCCAAGACCGACTCCTGTGTGTATGCAAAAATGCCAAAGGAAACCATGCCAGGGAAATGCTAATGAATTAGTACTGTATTTAGGATATTTTTGTCATGTTCAGTTTTGTTAACTATAAAATATTTTCAATTGGAAAGGAGTGCCACATAGACATATCCGGCTCCTAGACATTTACTTCAGCACTTTTTAAAACGAAAAACGCTACCTAAGGAGAAATTTGATCTAAAAAATATCCAGTGAAGGTAGCTGTAACCAAATGTATGTTATGGCATATACTTAAAAGTTTCCTTTTAGTTTTAACTTTGTATCTGCCATGGGACTATTGTGGTTAATTGGGTAGAGTTATTTTAATTCTTTTAAGGTACAAAGTAAAGACTGAGAATTTAAGGGGAAAATGGCAGTTTTTACATTAAAAGGGTACCAAGTAATAAAGATTTTAAATGAACTGGGAATTGTTTTTCTACTTTTTCAGAGACTTAAGTGAGCACCCCCTCTTCCCTCTCCCCATCTTCGACTCACCCTCCCCACTCACTTTAACAAGTTATTCCAATGAATAGAAATTCTTGTGGGAAAATGTCCATGACTCATGGAAAAAAGAAAACACCTTTTTTTTTTAATAACAAAAACCTCTCAAGTTCAAGAACTGCAAAAAGAATTTATATTTATTTAAAGCTTATTATTACAGCAAACTTTACTGCTCTTTTGTGAGATTTCATCTTTGCAATAAGATATCTGATGAGAGTCCATTTTTAATAAAAATTTGGGAAATTAAACTTCATTTTCTTTATTTGGTTGACAAAATGTGATGTGTTCCAAACATCTTATAATTTGAGATTGGAGACCTCTTCTTAACCTTTTCTGATAAGATGGCAGTGTTATTACCAGTCCTCATCTCCTGGATGCCCAGTTTTAACCTATAAGCCTATTTCATATTTGGAAGAGGGCTTTTCAGGGCATTTGCAACAACATTTCTAGGAACAATGTTCTTGAAGATATTAAACTGATAGCCACATACCCTGATGGCTTCAGAACAAGCTTACAGAGTTCACTGTGCATACAAATGACATTTTAGGCAGTGAGGAGAGGACATTTTTGCAGAATGCTAACTTCTTAACCATTATCACGGGAATTAAGTTAACTAAATGGCATGTAGCTTGAGAACAGATATCATACATTTGCATGGATTTTAACTCGTTTGAAGTATTTTCACACACAAGCTCATTTGATCCTCCCAATAACCTATAAGGTAGTCAGTCTAATATCATTATCCTCACTTTATAAGCGAGGACATAGGCTCAAACAGTGAGTTACCTAGGTCAAACAGCTAGCAAGAAGCAGGGGGGCCTAGCAACCATCTTTCCTAATTTTTGCCAGCACCTCAGACATCTCACTAACACTTTTCAACCTTTATCAGGCTAACGACCATGCTATCAGTCTTGTGGAAACTACTTTAAAATTTAGCAACCAAGAAGAAAGATTAATTGGATTTATTTAACCATCATTCAAGTAAAATACTAGTCCTTAACACCAGGAGCTTACTTTAGTGAAGAGGATGTTATTTATACTTGACAAAAATTTAGAGACAGATTTATATTTAAATCTATTTATTGGATAGATTGATTTGAATAATCTGAATAGATTGAATTACCTATAGTGACATATATTTCAGAAGCTTAGACTTGATTAGATTTTTTGTTGGCTCTCTTTCCTGCAGCTTATAGGTAACAAGGACACTGCATGGTGTCGACCATCCAGACCATTTTCTTCTTTCTTTTTTTTTTAATTTAAAGGAGATAGAAGTTTATTGAATACACTGTAAAGACCTCTCTCAATAGATAATATAAATTAATTAAATATTGCCTATTTCCTAGTCCTTAGGCATGGTAATTACCCTCAGAGGTTGTTCCGTCTCCTAGTCATTAACTCTATTTTACCTTTCCTCAATCTACTGCCTGGGCTGAGATTGTCTTGCCCACAGACCACAAGTAGTAAAGCACCTCTTAGTGGCCATATTTTGTTCTATGTGACCCTAACTCTCCAGCCACAGCTTTTTGAATTAGGGTTGACTCCTTGCCAAAGGGAGACCAATTTGTGAAATGGCCTAATATTGAGAGTAACCAAACCATAGATAAACCAAACTGGGAAACAGCAATAGGAGCAGTGTCTAGAAGGATGGTAAGTGTTTAGAGAGGCCAACAGTGTCATGCCAGGCCTTAAATTAAAGCAAACTGCCTTCCAGACAGTACAAGTTAGCAGAAACTGTTGGTAGAGAAAAAGTTTAGAGAACGGGTAGTTGGTTTGGGACAAGAATGCACAAAAAGGCAGGGAGGGTACAAAAAGCAGCAGAGACTGATAGAGTAAGGAAGTAACCTAAGTAACATTAATGGCAAAAGATTAAATGGAAGATCCATTAGCTTGGATGCTAAGGACACTACAATTGCCTTGGATCCAATTCTAGTCATGCTCTGTTCTTGAGGTCTTGTTTCTGAAAGTCTAAGATAGTCAGAATTCTCTATTGTGTTAACAGTCAAGAATATGGTGGTGATGATACCATCTTTTATTGGCTTACCCTGCTTCTGTCCTTTTAGCACCTTCAGTTAAAGTTCCCAAACTTGTGGGCGCCTGGGTGGCTCAGTTGGTTAAGTGACTGCCTTCGGCTCAGGTCATGATCCTGGAGTCCCGGGACTGAGTCCCGCATCGGGCTCCCTGCTCGGCGGGGAGTGTGCTTCTCCCTCTGACCCTCCTCCCTCTCGTGCTCTCTGTCTCTCATTCTCTCTCTCTCAAATAAATAAATAAAATCTTAAAAAAAAAAAAAAGTTCCCAAACTTGGGTTCAAAACGTTAGGAAGCTTCTCTGTGTCTCTGATTCATTGCTGCAGGTACTACCATTGCTGCAAACTCTGCCAAGTGTTTGAAGAACTTGAGCTCTCTGAAACACTGCATCTGAGAAACCAGCCTTCTACCTTTGGGAAAATCTCACAATTGCTTCACTGCAACATCCCAAAGGCAATGGGAGAATACAGGATTCAATATACCAATTCAAAAGCTCACATTATATATAGCATATTGAGCTGGGTAATTTTGTGTAACTAATTCCACATTCAGTCTCTTTAAGCAAGAGGCAGTCTTGCCAGGGGGGCTTTATTTTTACCCTTTATTGATTCTTTTTTATTTTAAGCAAAATAACATATAGTTTAAAGAGTCATCCTGTTATACAAGATCTTTTAAGACCAGAGAATTTCTCAGTCCCTCCTCACCCCTATTTTTCTTACTTCTAAGTCAACTATTTCAATTCCTTTAGCTCAGGAATTAATACACAGCCCACGGGCTAAATCCAGCCAGCTGCCTATTATGATAAAGTTTTATTAGAAAAGCCATGCCCAGCGGTGCTTGGCTGGCTCAGTCACTGGAGCAAGTGACTCTTGTTCTCAGGGTCCTGAGTTCAAGCCCCACATGTGGTGTAGAGTTTATTTGATAGGAAGGAAGGAAGGAAGGAAGGAAGGAAGGAAGGAAGGAAGGAAGGAAGGAAAGAAGAAAAAGGGAAACAAAAGGGAAGGGAAGGGAAAGGAAAAGGAAAAGGAAAAGGAAAGGGAAGGAAAGGCCATGCCCAATTGTTTGACTGCTTTTGCACTACGAGGGCATAGTTGAGTAGCTACCACAGCTACTAAGACCCTAACACCCACAAAACCTAAATATCTACTGTCTGACCCTTGGCATAAAAAGTTTCCCAACCCCTATTTTGGCTTTCATTTTGACATGCACCTCCATAGTGTGAAATAACATGCTGTGTGGCTACACTTTTTTTCCCCTGATTTAAGCAATATTTATTAGCCTCTCAGTATGCATTACAAAGATTTAGCTTCTTCCCCAGTATGTGTGTTCACACACACAAACACATAAACATTTCCCATTCCTCCATTCATTTCAATATATTATTACATTGTAATTTAAATTAGAATAGATTGATATTCGGCGTTTGCATTATCGTGACTATGTATGCTATTTAGGGCTTAGCCATGTAGTAAATTACAATTATTTTCCTTTTCTGAATATCTTTTCACTTTCCCTGAGTTAATGTCAAAAGAGTGGCTGGAGTGACCATAATAATAGCACACAAAGTAGATTTCAGAGCAAAGAATATTACCATGATAAAGAAGGTCATTTCATAATGAAAAATAGGTCTCAATTAATTAAGTCCTAGCAATCTTAAATATTTATACATCTAATAACAGAGTTTCAAAGTACATGGAGCAAAAACGGATAGAACTACAAGTCTAAAAAGACAGAAGTAGATTACTGGTTACCTAGAGTCAAAGGGTCTGGGGTAAAATGATTGACTGATGGATATACGCTTTTCTTGGGCATTAAAAGCATTCTAAAATTGATTGTGGTGATGGTAGTACAACTCTCTGAATGTATTAAAAACCACTGAATTATACACTTTAAATTGGTGAATTGCATGATATGTGAATTATATACCAATAAAGCTGTTTGAAAAAGAATGGCTTGGGGTGGGTGCCTGGGTGGCTCAGTTGGTTAAGCGACTGCCTTCGGCTCAGGTCATGATCCTGGAGTCCCAGGATCGAGTCCCTCATCGGGCTCCGTGCTCGGCAGGGAGTCTGCTTCTCTCTCTGAACCTCCCTCCTCTCATGCTCTCTATCTCATTCTCTCTCTCAAAATAAATTAAAAAAAAAAAAAAAATCTTAAAAAAAAAAAGAATGGCTTGGGGTGCGTGGGTGGCTCAGTCGGTTAAGCATCTGACTCTTGATTTTGGCTCAGGTCATGATCTCAGGGTCATGATATTGAACCCACAATGGGCTCCACTGCACTGGGTGTGGAGCCTACTTAAGATTCTCTTGCTTCCCCTTCCTCTGCCCCTCCCCCCTTTAAAAAAAAAAAGAATGGCTGTACTAGATAGAAATCTGACCTACACAGAGATGGTAAATATGTGGGTAAACATAATATTTCTCTTATTTTAAAAATGTTTTTGAAAGATAATTGCTTAAAGCAAAAATAACAATTTATTATGTGTTTATAACATAGAAGTAAAATATGTTAAAATAGTAACAAAGTCTAAGAGAGGGAAAATGGAAGTGTATTTTTGTAAGGTTTTTTAACTATACATAAAGAAGTATATTCTTACTTGACGACGGACTGAGATAAAGATGTAAATGAGAAACTCCAAAGCAACACCTTAAAAAAATATATATATGGTTAATAAGCCAACAAAGAGGTTGCATCATAAAAATCTTAGGCTAAATCATAAAAATTTCTTGATTAATCCAAAAGAGGGCAGGAAAAGCAGGGAGCGTTAGAGAACAAAGAACAGATGGGGAAATAGAAAAACTGCAACCATACTCATAATCACTTTAATGAAAATGTTCTAAACACCCTAACAAAAGAAATCGTCATATTAGACAAAAAAAGCAAGACCCAATTATATACTATCACCATGGGATCCACTTTGAATATAAAGACACAAATAGATTAAAATAGGTTAAAAGTAAAAGGATGTTAAAAGATATACTATGCTAACAATCAAAGCTGGCTGTATTAATATCAGATAAAGTACATTAAGAGAATCATTTAATGGCATACAGATCAATGCAAGAGGACCTAACAGTCCTAAATGTTTATATACCTAATAACATAACTTCAAAATACGAGAAACAAAACTGACAAAATTAAAAGGAGAAATAGATCCACAATTATATTTGGAAATTTTAACATCCTTCTGTCAGTAACTGAAAAGGTATCTTTGGCTGCTGTAAGACTAGTTTGAAATGGGCCAAGTGCTAGTGAAGGAACAGACGCAATGTGACTAGATTTAAAAGTATACATAGATCATATGTGATTTTGATTTCTATACCCAGTATTACCACGATGTTATTAATTATTTCGTCCAAAGAGCATAGGTCCAGTATTAACGTATAGGTTTTCATCTTCTGCCAAGTTACCCCGAGCCAGGTATACTCACACTGAATACCTCGGCGGGAAAAAAAAAATCGATAGCCTTAGGGTAGTGTTTTTCAAACTTGAGTGATTACCAGAGTTACCTGGAGGGTTCTTTAAAATTCAGACTGCTGGGGTTTCAGATGCAGTAGGTGTGGGAAAAGGGCCGGAGAATTTACATTTTTAACAAATTCCCGGGGTTAGCTCCACACTTTGGGAACTACTGGCCTAGAATTCTGTCATTCCTTTCTTCCCATTAATTTCAAGACAGCTAGTTGGTTTCCAAACAAAGCCGAAGGCCGTAGGACTCCGCTGCCTACAACGCAAAGCAACTCAAAAGAGCTACTCTCCGCCGCTACGAGTATTCCAGGCCTCCCGAATCCGCGCGAGAGTTTACGTGTGACGTCGGCGTCTGCGTCGGCGTCACGTCGGCGTCGGCCACGTTCAGCGGAGACGGGAGCAAGATGGCGATTCCGGGCAGGCAGTGAGTGATCCGGGAGTTAGGGTCAGGCTGGGAATGGAAAATTACGGCGACTTTGTCTTTGGCCGAGGAGTAAAAGTGCGCTGGAAGTGAAGGGGCTTGTGTCGTCAGGGATAGAGACGGGGAAAAGCGAGAGATCCTGAGGAACATATTCCCCTCCCCCACACATTTTCCAGGATGGAAGCCCGAAGTTTGAGGGAGAAACTTGTGAGGAAATAAAGGAAGTTAGGCTGAGGGGCAGAGAGCGAGACTTTTCTATTTTCCAAAAGCTCGGTCTGAGGCCCCTCAGTCTTGCTTCCTACCCCGCGCTTGAGTTTCTCCCTGGTTGGATGCTTTCATGGGCAATGAGAAGAGAGACCATTCCTGGCTTCCTTAGAGGGCCTTGTTCTTGGCTGCTCAAGTCCTGATTCCCGCCCTCCCTTCTTGTTTTAGGAATGTTGTGCTGAGAAGCCACAGAAAAGGGTAGGCATATAGGGAATTGGGGTATACATTGCCGCAAGAGAGGCAAATGTTGTGTGTTCTTGGAAGTTTTACCTTCGGTGTGTAATCTTTACTTCCCGTGATCTCGGCATTTTAAAGGCCAAAACGTAAGAAACCAAATGCGTTGGGTCTGATGATGGTTCTCTGAGATGCTCCAAGACAGAGCACATGAGTTCAAGAGGGTGTAATGGGTATTTGTCCCATGGCTACTTGGATTTCTCAGTTAATGTGTCTTATAAAAATTTTTCGTGGGTGACATAATCCAGTAACTTATTTAAAACTATGTAAGTACCCAGTAGGGACAAAGAAAAAATAGCTATTTTCTTGTTCGACCACACGGATAATTTAGAGTGTTTTCTAATTTTTAGTGGGCACAAACTGAGCTTTCCACTAACATGTTCTTTCTAAAACATTACTATTATTATTTCACCATCCAGAACATTTCTGAAGTCTTCAGTTACTTCTTTGATTAAAATGGTGTTTGAGTTTGGCCCTTGCCTGCAAATAATTGCTTAAAAGTAATACTTATAAAATCTTAATGGACATTAGAATTTTGAGATCACTGAAAAGCAGAAACAATGTTTGTTGTGTGTTCATAAGCTATATGACATGTTTTGACTTGGTAGCTTCATCTGGAAGAGGTAGTGAATGTATTATTTTTTAACATTTAAATATAATGGTGTAATTTCTATTTCAAAAAAAAAAAAATGCAGGTATGGGCTTATTTTGCCAAAGAAAGCACAGCAGTTGCACCCTGTTTTGCAAAAACCATCAGTGTTTGGGAATGATTCTGATGATGATGATGAGGTAAGGGAACCTATGTTTTTCTATTGCATTGTTGGAAATATTTTTTAAATTGAACTTGTGAATTTGATGTCTTTGCTTGCCTTAGTTATTTGTCATTACAGTGTTATCTGGAGTATATTATAATTTACAGAATTATCAAAAGGAGTATTTAAAGAAAGATTTCTCACTGATTTTTTTTTTCTTCCTAAGGGGTACGTGGGTAATCTAAGATTTTTTTTTTGAAGTTGTGAATTTCAGTTATTTCTAAGCAGTTATACAAAGTTGTTTTAGATAGCTAACACTGATGTGACAAAATTGTTAGTGTAAAGATCCCTGAAAATGAGCTATTAAGATGTCACCAATTGCCTAGAAATTTTTCTTAGCAAAGTAGTTTCTTCTAAGACTACTTTTGTGGTTATTAATTGTCTGCTAAATGTAATTGCTTATAATTATGGTAGTGCTTGAATTTGCCATTGATAGTACTACAAGAATATCTAATATGAATATTTTCTATTTTAGCAGCCAAAACAGTGTTTTCCTGTGAAACATAGGGAATTGGGGTATACATTGCCGCAAGAGAGACAAATGTGTGTTCTTGGAAATTTTACCTTAAGCAGAAACAACCCCAAATGTATGCTTATCTAATACTTGAGTAATTTTCTGTATTTCTAAAAGAGTTTTGCATCTGTTAATCTGGTACTTCCTTTGTTCTGGAAGAAAGATAGCTTCTCTTTCAGTTTTTACTAATTTTCTAATGGCATACGTAGGTAATGGAACATATTTGATACTTCTTTGCTTTTTGCTTTCCTTCTTTTGAAGAAATTGGCTCCAGATGCAGTCTACATCCCTGTATTGTGCCCCAGACCACTATCACGTTATGATTTTGATTTGCATTTCCCCAGTGGCCAGTGATGTTGGCCATTTATGTGTCATCTTTGGAGAAATGTCTATTCATTTGCCTGTTTTAAAATCAGATTATTTGTCCTTTTACAAGTTGTAAAATTTCTTTATATATTCTAGATACAAGTCCCTTATTAGATATAATTTGTAAATATTTTCTCCCATTCTGTGCGTTGTCTTTACTTTCTTGATAATATCCTTTGAAGCACAAAAATTCAATTTTGAGAAAGTCTGTTTTTTTTTTCATAGGTTACTACGCTTTGGTGTCTTACCTAAGAAACCACTGCTTAATCCAGTGTCACAAAGATTTGCGCCTGCGTTGTAGTTTTACCTCTTAAATTTAGGTCTGTGATCCATTTTGAGTTAATTTTTGTATAGGGTATGAGGTAGGGGTCCTACTTTATTATTTGCATAGGGATATCCAGTTGTCCCAACATCCCATTTGTTGAAGACTATTCTCCATTGAACTGACAGCACCCTCGTCATTTGTTTTAAATACAAATATTTATTTTTTTAAAATCACCTACCGCGGACATGCTTATTCTGTAGTTTCATATCCTGGCATCCCATGTAATAACAAAGCGAAATATTTGAGAAGGATGGGTGTACACAAGTGAACTAGAAAGTTTACACACATTATTGCTCTTTCTTTTCCATTGTGAAATGAGGCTGGTGGACAGTGGATACACTAGAGCTAGAAAACCTAGGGCTAGGCCATTTTGCTTTTTCTTCCTTCCGTCTCTCCCTCCCTTCCTTCCTTCCTTCCTTCTCCCCTTCTTTTACATACAGGGACTTTAATGCAGAGAATTGGCTACATAAGTAATAGAAGACTTAAGAAGCCAAAAAGAGGATGGTGAAGCAGCCCAGAGATCAGCAGTAGTAAGAGCAAGTTAGTGATAAATGGAGGGATACAGGTAGGATATAGGTCCTGGTGGCCAAGGGATAGGGTTACCTGGGAACTAGTCTTCCAGATGGAGCTGAAGGTACTGGAAACATTAATGTCTTAAGTAGGTAGAGAAAAAGGCAGAGAGGAATACTTTTATTCCCTTTCTCCCACCTTCCAGTAGATCATCTTTGTTTTCCACTGGTAGAGCTTAGCCAGAAGCCAACTGACAAGAAAGCTGCAGCTTAGTTCTTAATGAACAAAACCGTTTTTTAGTATAGTATAACGTCTTACCAATAAAAAGATCAGTCTGATGAATTCCAGCTTATTTTCATACTGAGAAGTAAATTCTTTAGTTAGGTATATTTAAATATTTGAGGTTTGAATACAAAACCTCTTATTTAAAAATTAACAATTTAAGCAACAATAAAATTATCGCTGCTTTGGAAAATATAGAGAAAGATATTTTATGGTTCTCTTCCTAAAGAGGGCATTATATAACAGGAGAAGAGCTGCTACAAAGCAAATCCATTGTTATTTACAGCAGTTCAGAAGCATTTAAGAACCCAAATTTAAGATTAGACTTTCCTTCCAGTGGTCCAGCAGATGGGGCCCTGGCAAATGAATTCAATTTTAATATGTGCTTATTTTTTATTTTTTTTATTCTTATGTTAATCCCCATACATTACATCATTAGTTTTAGATGTAGTGTTCCATGATTCATTGTTTGTGCATAACACCCAGTGCTCCATGCAGAATGTGCCCTCCTCAGTACCCACCACCAGGCTAACCCATCCTCCCACCCCCCTCCTTTAATATGTGCTTATATTGAGAGTAAGTTTAAAAGTGGGAAAGTGGTATTTAAATAGTTCCTCTTTTAAAAATTATCAGAACTTGGGCGCCTGGGTGGCTCAGTTGGTTAAGCGACTGCCTTCGGCTCAGGTCATGATCCTGGAGTCCCAGGATCGAGTCCCGCATCGGGCTCCCTGCTCAGCGAGGAGCCTGCTTCTCCCTCTGACCCTCCCCCCTCTCATGTACTCTCTCATTCTCACTCTCTCAAATGAATAAATAAATCTTTAAAAAAAAATTATCAGAACTTATTAGAAATAATTAGTTTTGGGGCACCTGGGTGGCTCAGGTCATGATCCTGGGGTCCTGGGATCGAGCCCCACATCAGGCTCCCTGCTCGGCCGGAAGCCTGCTTCTCCCTCTCCCACTCCCCCTGCTTGTGCTCCTGCTCTCTCTGTCAAATAAATAAATAAAATCTTTTTTTTTTTTTTTTAAGATTTTATTTATTTGACAGAGACACAGCGAGAGAGGGAACACAAGCAGGGAGAGTGGGAGAGGGAGAAGCAGGCTTCCCGCCGAGCAGGGAGCCCGATGCGGGGCTCAAGCCCAGGACTCCGGGATCATGACCTGAGCCGAAGGCAGACGCTTAACGACTGAGCCACCCAGGCACCCTAATAAATGAAATCTTTTAAAAAAGAAAAAGAAATAGTTTGTTCAAAGGTAGAGGAGATGGGAGTTTTTACCCTATATGAGTAAGAGGTTTATATTGTATCCAAATGCTGCTGTCTAATCATAACTGTTTGAGTGGTTTTGCTATGATAGTAATGTGTTTATTCCATTTTTTCCAGTGTATCCTCTTTCAGTCTCATTGCCACCACCCTCATTACTTAGATTATTTTAATAGCTTTGTAACTAGTTTCCTTATCATCTGTCCTGTTAAATTAATTTGAAATAATGTTGACAAGATTGATACTTTTCAAGCACAGTTCTATTCACTTGTAACTCCCTTGCTTTTGAACCTAATTGTATTTAAAATCCAAATTGCTAGTCCTGACATTGAAAGCCTTCACTATGCTTTGGCTTCAAAATGCTTATTAGCATTTTTTCCTAACTGTGCTCCTCTGTGCAGAGTGTAGTTTTTTGCAACTCAGCTTTTCATCACACTAGAAGTCTCCCCATTCTTCAAAACCCATTGCAGAAGCTGCTTCCTTCATTTTCCCCAGTGGAAGCAATCTCATCCTTTTTCTGTCACTCTCCTTTCCTTAGCACTTAGCTTTTTATACCTTGTGTTGTAAGTTATTTTCATACACGTCTTGTCACTGTACTAGAGTATGAGCTCCATGAGTTAGGATCTGGATATCTCTGCTGATACGTGTACTACGAGTAAAATTAGTATTTACTTGGGTGTTTTAGTTGTCTGTATTGTAAAGAGCCAGGTAATAGATGTTTGGGCTTTGCAGGCCAACTATTGAACTTTGCTCTCACGGTGTGAAAGCCTCCTTTAGACAATATGTAAATGAATGAGCATGACTAATTAATGTATTCTAATAAAACTTCATTTACAAAAAGAGAGGGGGCTAGATTTGGCTGTAACTTGCTGACCCCTGGTCTACACAGTTCTCAGAAGTACTTGTGATAATCAGTAGTGTTTCACAAATGTTACAAGATGGTCAGTGACTAAAATAGATGTTGCGTGACAGGTTAAACAAGGAACTTCCTTTTAGATAGTTCTCACTACTAAATGCTTGCTCATTTTGCAGAGCACAGTGACTTTTCCCTTTAATTGTGGCAATTGAAATGCTTATTTCTAGACAGTATTCTTGTAAGATCCTATTTTGCCCAGTAATTCATAATGCTATGAAGAAGTATGATCAATACAACCTGAGAGTTGATGCAGTTTTGTGTGTTTATCCAAAAGCAACAATTTTCAGGTTGGATAAAGATACAGGACTCTTTGATCTCTTCACAGAAGTATTAAATTAAACTAGATAGCAAATGTTTATTAACTTAGTTTTTCATAAATGTATCAAAAATGTCAGAAAATGGTGGATGATAATAAATTGCACTTTGAGTCTCTCAGAAGCCATGGTATAGTCCTTTTATAGGTTAAGCATTCATTTTCGTAAGATGTAAAGCATTTATAAAAACACGAATACTCAGAAAAATGAGGAAAACACATTTATAGACAAATATAGAAGAAATAGAAATATCTGATAGACCTTAAAGATATTTCATCATAGTGTATTTAAGAAATGTAAATTAGGCCAACAGTGAGCTGCCATTTTTACTATATTAGCGAACACTTTTAGAAAATGGTAATGGCAAGGTTTTGGTGAAATGGGCGCTCACACTTGTGTTAGTGTAAATTGATGCCCCTTTTTGGAACGTGGTTTTGCAATTTGTATCAATCCTTTAAAAGTTAAGTGTATTGGGGCGCCTGGGTGGCTCA